GTGAGCATGTGAAGAATTGCGCGGGAATGCCGTTGAGTTCACGGCCATTGTTAAGCAGGAGGGAATGATGGATGCTCCAGGCAGACTCGGAACTCTGTACATGTGGCTTCATCATCAGACACTGAAGGAATGCAGGGTAATAGATGATTGCTGCCTGTCAGCACCACAGGCCAGCTCCGTAAAACGTACACTGATTTTTGCTTATGTAGAATTAAGAGATTTTCTTAATAAAATAAAACAAAACAAAGCTAATTCATTTTAGTTTGCTTGTCGTTTCATCTGCGTCTTGTACAATATTTGCAAATCACAGATTTTAATATTTCCCTCCTAATGTTTCTGATTTTAGAAGAAACATGACAGGTGCAGATTAATCAAGTTGAGTGTCTTTTAGCTGCTTTTCTCCAGGGATGGTCACCGGCCCACTCCAGTGGAAATTGTATCCTCAGTAACAAAGGGATGCAGTCATGTCATAATGGAGCAGTCTCTTAGGTTTCACCTGTGATCAATGACACAAACACATTGGGTTGTATGAGAGCAAAGAAAGAAACTGTATAATCTTAGCATTGCCCTCGATGTGTGCACAGAAACGTCAGTACTGAGTGTTTATGGCTTTATTTGGACTCATGAGTCTATGAGGGTCTCAGGGTTCTGTTTCAATGTAATGATATACGTGTATAACTAATAGCACTGTGTGTACTTAAAGGCAGCTATGAAAAATGCTTTAACAAAAGAATACTCTCATTTACAAATGGTTTGGGTGGATGTTTCTTCATGTACAGAATCCAGTGACTAAAATATCAAATCTTAACCACCATTGGCATTTTGTCCTACCCACACATGGACACTGTGTTCCAAGCTGGCCACTCAGCTGTCACCTTGCTGCCCATGTAGCAAATGAGGCGCTCAGCAATCTTGGTGACAGACAGAAGACGTCCTGGTGTGCCACGGGCGTGCACGCTGTCACTGATGCACACACACACACAGACACAGTGTAAAATATAGCTCAGGCAGATGCATTCATCTGTGAATCATCTGCTGGTGTAGCATGTTTTTTTTTTTGGGGATAAACAGGTAGCTGTGGATAACAGAGCTAAAACAACCGGGTGATCACTTGACCTTTGAAATGCAATGGCTGGTGGTTTCTTGCACATTTAATAGTTTTGCTAGAAGCCAGAATTGAACTTTTTCACATATGCAAACTGTCATGTTGGATTGGATGGTGACATGGACCTGAGCGAGGATGTGATAGCTCTGAAAGCTCTGAAATGGACTGTGATCACATTTAGATGACACTGTCAACTGGAGGCTACTGTCCTCTCTGTCTAATCTGTGGGTTTGGAAGTGGATGTTGGTGTCTCTGGTGTCTCATACGCTGACATACATCGCACCACAAAAACTATAACTCCTCTGGTGTCTCACACGCTGACATACATCGCACCACAAAAACGGCAACGTTTAGAAGATCGTTTTTTATAGTTAAAAGCCATGATTATGCAGACGTTCTGCACTTCTCTTGTGGCTTCATTGAACAAACTCACTTTCTTTAAATCATGTCATGAAACACTTCAAGTGTCAATTTCCAGTGGTCTTTCAATGCCTGCTTATGGGTGTAGGAGATCAGACTGGTCACAGTTGAGCCGGTTGGGGTACTTGAGGTAACAGGAGGCACCTGCCATGACGTCCAGTGGCTCAGGGCAAACACACGGTACCTGTCAAATGCAGTTAGAGCTCCTCCAGCAAACGGCCCTTCCTGGCATCCAGTCAGACAGCTGCTGAACTTTTCACATGTCAATTCTGAAAGGTTACTGCTAAAACCAGCGGTGACAGATCTAAATGGATGGATGCCTTTCTGGCATTTTTGTGCAGGGATGCTTCATGTCACCTAGACTACCTTGCCTGTCCCCTGTGTGGACCCAACTTAGTCTCTTAGCCATCAGACAGATTTTTAAACCAAAAGCATGTTTATCTGTTTCTTAAATGTAGGTGATGAAATTGCAACATCAAAATATTACCAATAAATTGTTTATCTTAAAACAGTCATAGAGCAATGTCCATGTCTCATGTATTGTTTTTTTGTGATGTTGATGAGGAATAAAATTAAAATGTCCTTTTTTATCTGTGTTTTCAGGTTGAACTTAAGATGAAATACAATGACCAGCACTGCAAGTCCAGAGGTCTTTTACCAGGTCATCGCTGGTATGAGATTCAAGCCTACAGAGCCTTAAACCAGGCCCTTGGGAGGTGAATGTCTGCTTTTGAGGGGGATTTTAGTCATAAGTTTTATGTCTGGATTTGATTTTTGTAAAAGTAGTTCCAGTGATCCTATTGTATCATTGGAGAAGTGGCATGAAATATATTTTACATTTTCAATCAAATGACCAATTACACCACCTACTGTACATTATTTTCCAGGTGTATCCGCCATAGGAAAGACTGGGGCGCTCTGATTCTAGTGGACGACCGCTTCAGGAACAATCCTAATAAATACATCACAGGTAAGTTATTCATGAGCTGAGCCGCCACCTTTGAGCTACAAGCACTCCTGACTTGAACACTAGATGGCAATAGTTATCCATTGAAAGACCAAGCTGAGGGACTGCCTCTGACATGTCCTTCTGTTTAATCTCAGGTCTCTCCAAATGGGTTCGCCAGCTTGTCCAACATCATGACACCTACAGCAATGCCATGCAGTCTCTGGTGGCATTCTCTCAGCTGCAGCAGAGCACAGACACGGTCCCTGCAGACAGTCAGACCGGCTGCTGCACTGACTCATCCCAAAAGCATCAGTTCACGATAGATTTGGATGGAGAAGGTCTGTCCCAGGTCCCCCTGCCCAGGACACCTGTCAGATGTGAGAAACCGAAGCCTGACCCTTTGCAGAACAAAAACCTTCCCACAGCCAAACCATGTTCTTCAACACAGTTTAAAACAGAACAAAATGGACGCCCAGGTGAGATGCTCTGAAGTTTATATGTTTTACCTAAAATAAAGCAAGTGACCATTATGTCTCTGATCATCAAGTGCAGAGACAAGTTGAATCCAGCATTCATTGTGACATGAAATAAGTCAATCAGTGACCCAGTAAAAGGTCTCTGATGTGTGTTTTTTATTGTGTATGTGTTTGTTTGCTTTAAAAAGGAAATGGCTATCTAAATAGCACCAAATACTTTACTGTACTCATACTGGGTCCCAGTGAAACATGGGTAAATGCTAAAGGGTCTATGGGTATGATGACATTAGCACAGGGAACTATGCAGGGATGACATGTTTCAGCATTGTCTTGGTGCTGCTCCCTTTGTCTGTGGAGGTCAGGGCAAGGTTGAGTTCTGTGCGGCTGATAAGGGCGGTAGAGGGACAGACGCCCTCTCTTCTCCTTCATAGTTGGAGGGGGGTGTTGGGGGCAGGGGCCATGGGATCAGTTGAGTGGCTTGCCTCATTACTGTAAGGTCTTTTGCATGCCTGAGTGGCGCTGGAGCGAGCTGATGAGCAGATGTTGGACTGTTGCTTTTAATTAAATCCCCTTGACTTTTGTTTGGGTTATATTGAGCGTAATTTTGGCATCTATACGTTTCCTCTTAAAAACAGCCTTGACAGACATCTGTCTGTACACTTTTATGTTCTGTCTCAACATAAATGTTTGACTGTTTTGTCGTTGTTATTTTTGCTATTTAAAATTCCACAGATAATTTAACACTTATTTCTGTTTCCTTTACACAGACCTATTAAAGTCACCAAACTCCCTCTCTGATCAGACGAGAACAACTCAGTCTTTGTTTCACATTTTCACCTCCACCCCAATTAACAACTGTTTCAAGAAGGCTATCTTCAAAGCGAAACCATCCAGTGATTCCAGTTGTCACCTCGAGGCAGCTAATCATCCTGAGAACCAGGAGAAAGAGCAGATCACCTCTCCACACAGGACTGAGGCTGAGGTGTCTTGTCTTCAACAAGAGGACAGAGGCGCCTCTAATGAAATTAAAGTGGAACCAGACAGTCTGGCTCTGGGGCCATCTTCAATAACAGAACCTCCTAGGTGCGAAAGTGAAGCACCCTCAGCAGACAATCCAGAGGAAGATGACGATCAGACCCTCTTCTGTACTCCAGAGCTGTTTGACGGAGAAGGAGATGAGACCAGTGAAGAGACAGAAATAAAGGCTGAGCCACCTGCTGTGATAGGTTCAGAACCACTTCTTAACTCTTTGCAGGTTCAGGGCCGTGGGCAAACCTCTGACTCTGATAGACAGGGTGATAATTCAGCCAGTGAGGAGAGTAAGAAGAGCACAGAGCTGCCGCAGGGACACGTAGAAGGGACAAAAGAACAGAAGCAGTGTGAGGACACAGAGCAGGTGGTTAACCACAGCCAATCGCACAGTAGACTCCGCAGACTGTCCAGGTCCAGACAGAAACCTCCCTCAACCCAAGCAGGTAACTAACTGCGGAAATTGAACAAACGCTGTGACCTTATCAAAATAAGTCACATGTCAGAGTACAAACAAAGACTGCATAGCCGTGTATGATGGGAAATGTTTTACGCACAACACGTGCCCTAATTTCTTATTTCAAATTATTTGATATGAACACTTTATTTTCATTCCACTAGCACTACGAATACGTTTGGGGTTTTTTATTTTAAACAAAGTGGATATTAGAAGAAACCTAAAATCCCATTCTTGCCTTGGAGCAGTGGCTCACACACCCCAGAACTTCATCACGCTGCCTCCCCCAATCAGCTGCACATGCAAAATCATCTCATGGCCCTTAAAGCCTCCGCTCAGTTAACACGTAACTGGCCAACATTGACTCAGGCTGCGGCACTGATTGAATGTGAGGTTCATCAAATCATTAAAATGCAAACGCCAAGTCATCAGCAGATGTCACGCTATCGTTCAGTTGTTTTTTATGATGTGTACGTTCTGACCGTAGCACTTTACACACTTGAGGTTAAACACGCCTGATTGGACCTAACAAACAGCGATGGTTTTCCACTTGTAATTATGTGCTTCAGTCATTAGTGAGATGAGTGTGTGGTTCCACACTGGTTTGACTGTCACAGAACTCATTCATGCAAATTATTTTAATCACAATAAAAAATAATAATTTTAGCTCTTTGTATTTATTTGTTTTCTAGCCCGAATGCATCTCACTGACATAGATGCTAATGTAACTGATGGTTCACACGAAATAGCTGATAATTGTCAGACAAGAACATTTAACCAACTAATGTTTTTGTTAGATTACATTAGATTAGATTGAACTTTAATATATATATATATATATATATATATATATATATATATATATATATATATATATATATGTATGTAAACATGATGTTGATTTAATCTTTGACCTTTATTCTGTTGACCTTTTTCTGGAATGGTAAGGTAAAGGTTCTGCATGCTCAGTATGTATGTGTAGTAATCAGCTATGATGGGTCAACGTGATTGGCTGACAGTCGGGTGATTGAATCAAGTTGGTGGTAAATGCAGAATCATCAAACAAGGTAAGTTGAAGAGAGACGGAGGAATTAGATTAAACCTGATTATACTGATGTGATTTGTCTCGTTACAGCGTAAACTTGGCCACTGTGTGATTTCCTTAGACTGACAGAGTGGACAAGTGTTCATTTAGTGCCTTTCTTTGCTCATCAACTGCCCCCCTGAGACCCTCATGTCTGTCATTGTGCATGGACTACTCGTTAACATCATCAAAGCAGGGTGTAGAGAGTCCTGCAAATGTGTCTCTTAAGCTCTTAACAGACAACCTGCCACTGGAAGACTGAGTAATGACCGTAAATGGTTCAATTTTTGCCCATTTGACTAATTCTGCTGCTAATCCCAAATCACTGACGTTACACCAAGGATACATCAGGCCAAACAAAGAAAACCTTGGTAAAAAAAAAAAAAAGGTCAATTGACATTCTGAAATCTTACAAATTTTATTTATTGATTTCCTAAAACTGGATTCTTCACAGAGATGGAGTGGGAGCAAAACTTGGCAGTAAGCTTTACATACAGTAAAACAGGAAATTAAACCACCTGCAATCTTTTTACTGATTGATCATTCTTCTACTGTGTGGCCTCTTGAGTTGCATTAATGTCAGCTATTTGTTTTGCAGACTTGTTTCCTTAATATATGACCTCATTTTAATTGACAGGTGCAGGCTGTGACTTTGAGAGTGTAGATAGAGTGACCTGTGTGAAGGGTGAACCACAGAGCAGCCAGAGGAGGACGACCGAGGTCAGAGAGGATCATGACCTAAAGGTAGTGACTGTAAATGTGAAGAGCAGGGCTTCCAGAATCAGAGGCAGGAGAGTGCAGAGCCTCGGTTCAGACCTGGACAAAGAGAATGGCAGCAGGACAGGTCATCACTCTGAGGGTAACGTACAACGTGAGGCTGTTGAGACTGACGATTCAACACACTATCAATAAAACAGAAGATACCAGAAATACTTTTGCAAGTCGCCTTTCCAATGGTGTTGGAGCATAAATAGAAGTGGCTTTCTTTAAGTTTGCATTTACCTTTGCTATTGTTGTCTGCTGTAGCTAAGTAGTTTAGTTTAATTTTTACTTTTGGTAATTTTGCTCCTATGCTATTCAGCTAACTTTAAATAAAACCTCAAATCTCACTTTGTCTTTCACTGAAGTGATAAATGTGCAGAGGAATTCCAAGAAAACACGCAGAAGATGTACCAAAGCGTCAGCAAAAGAAAAGGAAAGAGTCAGCAACATCTCACTTTATTTGTAGCAAATGAGTGATAGTCCATGACACACGGAACATTTGTTTTTGTTTTTTTGTTTTCCCCACAGACAGTGAAAGAGCAGACTCCATGCTGTGTGGGACTCTACTGCAGTATGTGTGAAACAGAACTTCTCCCTGATGCACTTAGTAAATCTTTGTTTCTTCACCACAGTTAACAACAATAACTAATCAACATCACTTAAATCTACACTTAATTAATTCTTGCTGTGGCCTCTTTGTTTAGGGTCACTTCGATGGGATGCACGTGACTTTGGAAATCTAACCTCTCTGAGTAGCGAACTGTGGCGTCAGCCTGCATCAGCCACCAAACACTGCCAGTGTCAGACAGAACCATCATCTCTACACGGTTCAGACACACTCCTGCTTGTACAAAGTCCTGCTTCTCTAAAGGCCTTGAGAGCAGCCCTGGAACCTTACTGGGATAACAGGTTACCAGGTGAGATTAAACACCTGTTGGTGACAGTTTTGTTGGACATTAGGAAAAAGTGGGTTTATCCTTAGACCAGTGAGTTTGCACCAAATTGCACAGAAGTGAGAATAAATATTGAGAACCAAATTTGAGGCAAAAGTTGATACTCACTGAAATAATGATAAAAACATTTGTGGCTGAGGATATCATATCATTGAGCCATTTCTGAAGTTTGTTTCTCTCTGCTTGTTCTTGCAGCATATAACGCCCTGTGGAACAGTCAGGACTGCTCCGTCAGCAGATTCATGCAGTGTAAAGTCTGCGTGTCCCAAAGATCTGCTTCATCCACAGCTTTAATGGCAGCAGAGACGCAGTACCCAGAAGACAGGTCTAAAGATCAGGTAAAAACCTGCTTTGTGTAAATGTAGGAAAAGGGTTGATTTATTTATCTTTGATGTTAACTTCTGGAAAAATCCTCAGTCTTTCTAATCTTTACCTTTGTATATGATGTCTATGAAGTGTTCAAAGACCCTCCTCTTTGAACACCTGCATCATTTGTGGTAACAAGATTCTCACAGTAGAGTAGGATTTCAACACTGCCGGGGTTTCCAGCTCATGGATGAGTTAAAGGAAGATTAAGACAATTTCCCCAGTCATGTTTGCAGTTGTTTGCCTATGGAAAAAGTCATAAAGATAGCCGTTTTTGTCGGGCAGATGAAAATAAGTAGCTTTAATGTAAGGTTAGTTTTCTTTAAATAATAATTATTAGCCTTGACATTAAGGCCTGTTGCACTACTTAAGCACACTTCTGACCTCACCGCATATAAAGCTGTATGGTGCGGCGTGCTGATGTCATCAAGCAGCCTCCCATTACAGCTCTGTTGTCTGTTTGTTTCTTGTAAACACTAACTTGTGCAACGTGAACACATGTTGTGCCAAGAGGCCCTCGTTGATCAATATCCACTGCTCCCCTATAATCTGACGTACAGTCGTAACTGAACACGGTGGCACTACAATTTAGTGCAGTTTCACAGCTTCGACTGGTTTGAGCTGGTTCCACGGCCTCGATGAATTGTTAATCCTCCAGCTTCCCTTCAAAGACAGGGTTTACAGACAGGACATGTCTCTGTGCTGCCAGTAACTGTTCACCACTGCTTAGTGTTTGATTAACACTAAATCTTGTCCTTTTTTTTAATTTTTAAAGGATAAACACCTATGGCACATAGGTTTTCTAAACACATCTATTGTAAGGGATCCTCCATGTAGCCGTTAATTAATCCTGCCTCTCTAATCCCATTCCTACACCAGTCAAAATAATTACAGTTTCCAGGAGTGTCTGTCTCGCAGTAACTGTATCGTGTTTTTGTTCCAGTAGAGTTGTAAAGGTCAGTCACTGTTGGGATTATTACTGTGGCCCGGCAGATTAAAAAGATTAACCCCGGTGGACCCTGTAACTTAAGGTCAACTACTACTTTCCAAACTTTCAAACCTAAATCACACTGTACCAATATAATCATGACAATTAAACAAATTTTTTATGTCATAGTATATAGGGAAAAGGTAAGAGTAAATACATAATTGCTTCAGTTATCAACGTATTGTTATTTAATAGTATAATAATAGTATAAAAATAAGGCACAGTTTATTACCCTATCTCTGGTAATTATGCTTGGTTATCATCAAAAAATGACAAAAATAATTTATATACTAATGATTATTTTATGGTATATTATATAATTTACCAGTAATTATTGCATTAAAATTATAATGTGATTACACATTACACATACAAAAATATTCTATAGAAATGAGGATCTGCTAAAGGCCTAAATGTCCCAGAATTTACATGAATAATAATATTTTTTATTTAATTGTATTAATAAAACAATCCAAAGTTATTTGAGTCTAGACTGTTGTAGAAACTTCACCTCTTGATTATGGACTTGTTTATGACAAAGCAAAGACATTTTGACCATCTGGTTAACAATGTGCTTCTAATCCCTCCATTTGTCATTTGTCTTTCTAGTAAACAGTCAGGTCTGCTTTTTTTTTTTTTCTCAAAGATCGCATGAGGCTTTTCATGTTCCTGCTGTTCCGCTGTGATTTTGACACACACCATGTTGCATGTGAAGCTTTGGAGTTCATCTGGGTGCAGTAAATTGCCAGACACCCAGGCTGCAGTTTGCATGCGTCAAAGTTACGCGGGTGCATGGCTGTCGGCATTGGGCTTGACGCTCTGCTAACAACTTTGCAGGCATTATGCAACAGCTTAACAGTTTAACAACTTTTATATTGACCCTGTCCTCTTCATCAGAACATTCTCAATACCTGCTATCAACTGTCTTTAAAAGTAAATCTCAATAGGATTTAACACAGAATCTGAATCATTTAATGGGAGAAATATAAATATGGAATGTAAACGAATGCGACCTTATTTGCAAAATAAAATGAAGAAAATCATAAAGGAAGAGTTAGAATCGATTAAATGTAAGTACAAAAACACAAATCTATTGCTTTATATTAAACTAAATAAACTGCCTTAATTGTGAAGCTTTTTGCAAATATTTAAAGAAATTGATTTCTGAGTCACACATAGAGTCTGATAGAGAGGAGTTGATCGGATCATGTGGTCGTGGAGGCTCTTTATTAATCTGTCTACTGGAACAGCTGTTAGAACTTGGCTGGAGTCGTAAGTTTGGAGCTCCTCGGATGATAAACCCCGATTTATTTCAGAGGGTCAGTGGAATTAGACACCTAATCTTCCTTTGTGGTTTTGTGAGTTGACTAATCTTGATATAGACATCCATTGTTTGGGCTCATCTTCATGTACTTACACCGTAAGCTGGGTAATACTATAAGTGTGATTGTGCCAGCCATTTGTCAGCTAAAAGCCTGATGCTCTTTTTGTTGTTCATACTGGGGTAAAGTCCCATCAGGGCGGCTTTAAGAATTAGTAATTAGCCATTTTTACATGTTCTGCAATAATAACCACAGGATGAGAAACTTTTAATCGGTTAAACTTTTGACCCTCAATGTGATTCGCTGAGCCAGTGCTAGGGTAATCAAGGCTTGGTTGTGTACGGTTCTTAACATTAACATTTCATTTTCTCTATGGCTCATATTTTCTTTCCTATTTAATCTATATATAATTTCCAATATTTCAATATATAAGTCCCTTCCTTCACTTACAGCAAGTAATTTAATTTCTTTTTACGAAGAGAAGATAGTAATTATTGATTTGTGAGCACAAATGTTGTCTTTGCCCAGTCAATATATTTAAACCTCTTACATGAGAGGAAGAAATAGAAAAGATTCTCTGGTCAACCAATCAATACAATTGATTGATGTAAGAGTTTTCTTAAATTCTCACTTTTCTCCCACAAGTACGTGATGGTCAGTGGCAGTACTTAAAGTAGTAAAGTACAGTAGTAAATATGATCATCTTAACTGTGGGACACAGATATAGACACATATAGTTATATATATATATATACATATATATATTAAAAATAATACTTAAATAAATATTGGGATATTAATAGTAATTATCAGTTCTGGATATTTTTTTTTATCATTATTTATTTATTTCCTGATTAAATCTGATTAATCCACAGCTGCCTTGTGTTTAGGTTCATTTTTAACCATTTAACTGACAGCCCTAGAAAGAATTTGCAGTGCAGTCTTGGATTGTAAGGGTGGACGGGCTTCTAACCAACCCACCTTTACCCCCTCCGCCCTAATTCTCCTCATCCTCCTGGAGCTGGCCTTCCAGCTGTTTCCAAAAAAAAAAATTTGCACACCAATTAAACACAGTCAGAGGAATTTATTGTGATTTGTTATTTTACAGTATTTTAAACTTCCCCTCCAGTTCCAACGCCTTACCACACGACTTCCCCTGAAGGATGATGTTTTTGGTCTGTTGATGCTCACACACGGCAGATGTGGGGAAACTCCCTCAGATACGCTTAAGCACTCCTGCATTTTCGAATCCCTCAGCAAATATTTCAGCAGTTCATGTAACCACTCACTCATCCCGGGCTAAATTCTCAGCTTTTCGCTCCTGAAATGATGGATCGGCTTTTTCTTTTTGACATCGTGTAGGTGAAAGATGACATATTAGTAGCTGTCAAAGCTGCTTGTCAAAAGGCTAAGTTATAGTTATAGTGTGTTGAAAAGTGGGAGGAGTGGGGCGGCTGTGCTGTTGGTGGTCCGACCTGAGTAAATATTACGTGTTTAGCTGCCGAGATCACAGCTTTAAAGTAAACCAGTGGAACATCTCTGTGACTCAGTGATGTAAATGAACGTAAGATTGGTCCATTTACCGTTGTCGTTTAAAAAATAACAACATGTAGTCCTCTAATTTAGGTTTACAAACACCACCCGCATTCATATGAATAATTAAGGAAAATCCCACCCCAGTGTTGACGGGAAGGTTCTTTGTTCTGGCCACTTAGTAGATTCTGAAGGTGATGACAGATAAGACTGTTTAACGAGTTTAGCTCTTCAAATCAAACAGGACACACTCAAAGTTTAATTCTGTGGAAACAGAGCTGAGAGCTTGTCCTGACTCATCACACTTTTCAAAGCCCGCTGGCACACCTCGCCGTGGGAATGACACTTCTCAACCCATCTTTGTTTAAACAGGATAATTCCACTTTCTCTCTGCTCTGTGTCGGGCATTCAGCAGTTTCTCTCATATTATAATGGAGCGCCGGCTCAATGCAAAAAAAAAAAAAGTAAAATAGGAGGTTCAGAAGTGTTGAATACAAGACGTGCCTTTTCCTCCAATTGAAGTTTGAATTAATCCGGTTTTGTTGTTGAAGGCTTGACTCGGAGGCGTAGACAGACAGACAACAATTGCGACACAGAATTGAGCTCTGTGAATTTCCCCTTCATGGTTTCTGCTCTGCATGTGTGTTTGGGTGGCCAGGTTTGTATAGGGCAGAACTGTTTTCTTAAGCAGATCGAAGAGCAGACAACAAAGGTTACATCGCTAGTACTTTTAGGTGTACCTTACAGACAACAGCTACTACTAGGGCTTGTACCAACAGTTTGATCCAAACAGTAACAATAATCATAGCTGTCAAAGTGCACGTGTTAATTACATCAGTATCATATCCCATAATTCCACTGCCCATCACCTTATCGCTGCTTTTATTGTTGCTAATTTTCGAGATATAGTTTTGCACATTTTTTGACTTTTTCCATATTAATAATTCCATCATTTGGATTAGGCACAAATACAAATGTATGAAAGACATAACACACTGTCATTTGTCTTTCCGTTCCAGCGAGATATATGTATACATAGAACATACATATAATATTAGGATTAACATCAAAGTGGGGGGCATGCCCTCTCTAGGGGCCATAGAGCTATTGCATTCGGGCCCAGCAGTTT